CGGGAAATCTTGTGCTCATAATATTTTATATCTCAAGAATTTTATACTTGAGGCTTTTAATAATAACGAAAAGGTTGGTGCACTATTCCTTGATATCAAGGGAACGTTTGACAGTGTCAACCCGAAAAAGTTAGGCTGTAGGGAGCGGTGCACTTGGACACTGTGCATTTGGACACAGCCAATCACAGCACCGTGTGATTAGAGACATTTGTAGGGTCCCTTGGAACAGCGACTTGTGATTGGACTGTGTCCAATTGCCCCGTGTCCAACTGATATATACCCAGGCTGTATCCTCTCAGGAATGGGTCTTCCAGCAAGGATGTTGAATATTATTTTAACCTTCCTTACTAATAGGAAGATTTTCGGATATTATAATGGTGGACTCATTGGCGAGGGATTTACCTCAATAGGCCTTCCGCAAGGCTCGGTCCTGAGCCCTCTCCTATATAATATTTACTCTGCTGTAATACATCGAAACATGGAGCTTCACGTTAAAATACTATCCTATGCGGATGACATCGTCATCTTTTATAGGAATAAGTCCATAGCTAGCATTTGTTTAAAATTGAACTACAATTTTTCTATCATTGGCCAGAACTTACAGGCACATGATTTATCGCCCCTCAAAAAACTAAATTTTGTATTTTTGCAAAATCCTCCAGATTTCGAACTCTAAGTAGACTCTACAATAAAATTAAACAACCCATTGTATATCTAAATCAGTGCATCAACATTTCACCTAAGGCTGTTTTCTTAGGTATTACATTCGATCATTCCTTATCCTGGAAGCCACATATTACCTCCTTACTAAATATCTGTAATAAACGCCTTAATATTCTTAAAGCCATTACGGGTATTAAGTGGGGTTCTCACCCCCTCACAATTCTCTCTGTATATAGGGGACTCATACGCTCCATTCTCGATTATGGAGGACTAGTGTTATATGACCTCCCTCCGGGCCGTACAATTCAGCTAGATAGAGTGCAATATGCCGCTCTCAGATGTGTACTTGGTCTCATGAGAATGACTCCTACCAATGTTCTTCTCGATCAAAATGCTGAATGGCCATTGGTTATTCGTCGCCTATTTTTAGCTACCAAGATCACTCTCTCTGGTCTCATAGAACTGACTCCTAACTTTTCACATGAAATGAAGATCTCAGTCCCTCTTGAATCGGATTGCACCAATGTTAACCCAGGTGATTCTCTAGATGCTCCCTCCATTTCCAATATACTTCGTTCACGTAAATCCTCCTTGCTATCTCCTTACTATCAAGAAATCTATAACTTAGAATCTCCTAGATATCAGGGACATTTGAATTTTCCCGTAGCTAATAGATATATTGATATATCTACGGATATCATAGCGTTCTCAAAGTTGAGCAAATTTCACAAAAAAGTTGGGAATTTTTATTATTGCAAACATAAAAAAATCTCAGTCAGCGGGATGAATCGTAGGGCTGCTGCTATACTTGATCATAAAAACCTGAATTGTATTATTTATACTGACGGCTCAGTAATGCCTGATGGCAGGGCTGGTTTCGGGATTTT